TATGTTCCATTACATGTGTGCGTAATAGGTATCGGGCAGGCCGTGATTGGTCCGCAGTCGTTGGGGGGGTTCGCGGCGATGGCGATGAAGCTGCTGGTATGGTGCAGAGACAAGCTGTTGCCCAGGGAGTTGGAGGAGGGGGGGGGGGGGGGTGGCACGCGGGGGGGCCGCGGTAAGATGGAGCTGTCGACGTTCGGCGATGCCACCGTGGACGACATGCTCAAGCTTGTGCAGGTGTTGTGGGTTTTGTTGCCAACCTTCCATCCTTGCGGGACTTGGAAGTATAGTCATGCCTGCCGAATGTGATCAATGTTCGTTTGGGTAGCTGGGATGCCCAATCAACTCATGGCATACCTGGATTGGCGCAGCAAACGCGAAGGGTGATGATGTTTCATCCTTGTGAAGCTTGAGTAGTGTACGAAACCTGGGCCGTCGAAAACCCGACACATCGCTCCTTCCCGGCTTTGTAGGGATGCGAGGTCTATGGTCTAACGACTACGACATGCGTTAACATGAGTACACACCCCTCCCACCCTGTATGCGTAGCAACTGCTGTAGAAGTTTTTTTTGTTTTCTTGGTGGTGTGTAGGATCTATCGATCTGTCGATCGATCTATCTACCAGGCGTCCTCTTGATAGTATCATCAGTCGCCCCCTCCCACGCCTGCAACTTGGTTGTATTTCAACAACCAGTGTTTGTTTCGAGGTCAGCCTTGGCTTGTAGACTTCCTCGTACTTTCCGCATGTGGGTTTGGACGTAAAAGGCGTAAAATCGGGATTCCCATCTTGGAAAATATTCCATAACAACTGGTCTGTGAGCACACGCAATACTTGGGAGATACCCTAGCTCGTTGCGCGGATCGTGCCGTGACTGTTCTTTTCCCCCGAGGGGTCCGAAAATCCCTCTTCGAGAATGGACCATTCCTTTCTTGTTTTTGTTTTTCCTCCCTCTCGTTATTTGGGGCCGTTCTTTGCTCTCTTCGCTATCTCCGGGACCGGAAAACTCTTTTTGAGAATGAAAAATTCCCTAGTTTTCTTTTTGATTTCCTCCCTTCATTCTTTCGGAGCCGTTCTTTGCTTTCTTCGCTCTCTCCAAATTTTTGTTGAGAATGAACAATTCCTTACTTTTCTTTTTGTTTCCTCCGTTTTTTTCTTTTGGCACAGTTCTCTGCTTTCTTCGCTTTCTCCAAATTCTTTTTGAGGCCATACCATTCCTTGCGGTTCTTTTTGTTCGCCCTTTCTTTCTTTCGGAACCGGTCTTTGCTTTCTTGGCGTTCTCCAGGACCGAGACGCCCTCTTCGAAAACGAGAACCTCCCCTCTCCTTACCTTTTGTTTTCCTGCCTTATTTCCCTCTTTCTTTTGGGACTGTTCTTTGCGTTCGTGGCGTTCTCCAGGACCGAGAGGCCCTCTTCGAGAACATGATGTCCGGTCCAGGGATCCCGGCAACCAAGTTTCCCCGCAGGGGCAAGCCGCGAAGCGTCGTGCTAACGCTCGTGCGTCCCGGCGGTAGCAGCAGCAGCGGCGGCGGCGGCGGCGGCGGCGGCGGCGGCGGCGGGACGGGGGGAGGAGTAGGTGGAGTGACGTCGTTCTCGTCAACGGCAAGCCCGTCCATGTTCGGAGGCAGCGAGGAGGTTTCTCCTGCTTCTTCTTTCTCGTCCTCCGTTGGCCGTGGGAGGCAGCGAGGGATAACCTCATCATTCGGGCGCACCCGGTTCCCAGGTAAGGCCTTTCTTCTTCTGAGATATTTTGTTTACTCTGTGGTACAGTCGGTGGTCCTCTGTGGCGGTACCTGAATAGCGGAATGTCCTGAATAACGGCGCCGGGCCAAGCGCATCTCTCAGCACAATCGCTGTTAGGAATAGTGGCACTGCCCTGAATAACGGCACCAAAGTCTCTTGTCACTACCTACCGCTATTGAGGACCGCCGACTGTACTCCTATGTATTAAATTGGCCAATCAATTAATTGCGGGCCACTTTTCTCTCTCTCTCTCTCTAGTTTTTTGTGTGTAAAGGTAACGGTAAAGGTAAAGGTGTGCATGCGCACGACTCACTTGCCTCCTTATCCTTATGTCCAACCCAAGATTGGTCATAGTGGCGGGAGAACGTACTTGTGCAGCATGTGTGCTACCGATCGATGTTGATATTATTGACCGATTGCTTTTCTCCGCAACATCCCAAGAGAGTTTCTCTAAAGACTTTCGCTACACTCGTCAGTAGCAGTTAGCAGTGACACCGGCTTAGTGGCACAATTCTCGGTAGTATTCTAGTGACGCATCTTGTGCTCGAGCCAGTCTAGAGACATGTCGGTATTATTCGATTTTGTGGTCGCGAACGATGTCAGTGGCAGCAGGGGAGCCGTGTAGCATCTCGAAGCATCTCGAAGCATCTCGATCGAAAGTCGAGAGAAAGGAAGGACTGTAGTATGTTTGGTCTCGAGTGGAAGTGAGTCTCCTTGATGTTTGCACCACTTTTTTTTTTTTTTTTTTTCCTCACTTGGCAGTTACAACGTGTTTTCTTTGTCGTACTCTAAAGATCGCAAGAATGCTTGACATCTGTCGCCATTTTTTTTTGCCGCCCTCCAAATTGTCCGTCTGCACCCTTCGTGTCCCCGGTCCACTACAGCAGAACGCGACCTCTTCTCGAAACCCTCGTACAAGCGGTCTTTCCGCTCCCAACCTCATCAACATCAGCAGCACCAGCACCAGCAGGGTCCGACATCGTTGAAGGGTGTTCTCGACCTAGAGCTGGAGTGGAATCGTCAGAGGGGGCGGAAGGGGTCTCTGCGGTTGGGAGAGGTCATCGAGGCCATCGCGGGCATCGATTCACAGGTACTTTGTTGTGTCGTACGTTGCTCTGATTTAACCGGTAGAATGTGTGTGAGGTGTGACTTCGAAAATTGTACAGTGCTTTGATTTCATGGGCACCCTGTTGTGTTGTGTTGTAGTGGCTTCGAAGAATAATGGGGTGCTTTGAATTTGCAGGTGGCGTGTTGTGTTCAACGTGTGGCGTGGGGGGAGAGTTTAAGTTCACAGGTAGGTACAATAATTCGTTGTGCCATAAAGTGGCTTTGAGTGCTAGTACGGTGCTCTGATTTCACCGGTGATGTGTTATGTTTGAGATGTCTTAGAGTAGTACGCGAGCACGGCGGTGCTGCGCTTTGTTTCTGACCACTCCGCGCGTCGATGGAACAAATTTTGCCGGCCTCAGAATCAATACCATGGTATGGTTCAGGAGATATATCTTGTGGTTGGCAGTAAATACCGTGTTGGAGCAGAAGGCCAGACTTAGGGTTGGCTTGTATGCACACGAGGCACCAAAAAACAAGACAAGATGTGGGGTGCTGCATAGAGCAAGGTATCATACAATAGTAGGAACTTGGAGCTTGCCTACATGTACTGCTGAGCTGTTGAGCATAGACTGGAACCAACGATGCTAAAAAAAAATATATATATATATATATGCGAAATAATTACAACAGCAGCAACAAAACACAGCTCAGTGTACCATGCCATGCCATGCCATGCCAGATACTTCGGCCCGTGTGCGAGGAGCTGCGGCGGCGTGCTGCATCCGTCGGAGAGTCACGTGTAGGGGAAGGAGGGGAACGGGAAGAGGAAGAGGACACGTTCGTTTCGCTCCGCACAAACCGGAGGACTCTAGACCTCAAGTTTTCCACGGTCCCCATCAGGTACGGTACGGTACAAGCAGTGTGCATATGACACTGCCTTCGTCGTCTGTGTTGCTGTTGCCGTTTTTGTGGCTGTCACTGTTTGTCGTTGTCGTTATTGTCGTTGTGATTGTTGTTGCTGTTGCTGTTGTTGTCGTTGCGGCTCTTGTCCTGCCTGTTGTTCGTCGTACCGCTGTGTGGGCAATGTTTGGCATGACTGGGTACCGTAGTACCGTGGCACCATAGTACCGTAGGCTAGCTGCCCAAGGTGGGGGCTCCGTAGAATAAACAGCCTGCTAGAATAGCTGCGTCTTATGCTACTTTATTATTGTCAAGGGTAGCGTGTGCGACACGCGTTGGGAGATAAGAGAACGCTCTCGGCTATTCAAACTTCCAAGCGTTTCTCCGGCCACCAAAATAATACTTGAGTAGGAGATGAAGTAGGCTGTACCTCCCCACTCCCACCCCGCCGTCGCCGCCGTATGCTGTAGTGGTCTGCTGTTCGCTCTTGGCAACCTTTGTTTTTAGTTGGTTAATATAGCACTCACAACGAGTCCCTCTCTATCCACAGGCGAGAGAGAGAGAGTCAAGCAGGATAAATTAACGATGCGATGAACCCCCAGTTTTTTTCTGTTTTTGTTGGTTGTTTCGTGCCTCTATGTTCGGGCACAACTGGTTTATTTATTCGTGAAATTTTTCTTTTCCCGACTGCTGCAGGAACCGGTTCATGCTCGCCTTCAAGACCCTGGCGTGGGAGACAGCGGCTGCCAGGGCTGGCAGCACCAGCGGCAGAGGCAGCAGGCCTGTCGGATCGAGCCATTTCTAAGCTTTGTAGCTCTTGCTTGGCCAAACCAGACAAGCCACTCGCCGATGCGGCCCGCCTGTAAGGCGTCGTTGCTGGTGTGTAGTCTCGTTCATGCTCATGAGTCGTGCATGCCGTAGACCGTGGACCTCGCATCTCTTCTAAGCCGGGACCGAGCACGCCGGGTTCTCGCCGGACGAAGCTCTCACATCACCAAGCGCGAAGCGCCGTGAGGTGTTCGGCGAGTCGCGGGAGGGAGGGAGGGGTGGTATGTGAGGCAAGGACTCAGCACGTTTCTGACGAACGTTTTGTCTAGAGACGTGGTATGTACTTTGAGGCGAAACCTGTGCGAGGGGGCGGCGGCGGACTGGTGGCGAGGCGAAGACGCCTTTCGTTTTTAAGTAATCCAATCTGCGGGGCCTCCTCTGCTGTACCTCTTCTGATACTACAGTCGGAGTGCTCTTTGAGGGCGGTTACACAGGATGTAGGGAGTGCTCTCTCCGGGGGTTGGGCAAGGAGCGAAGGCGAAAGAGGGGGGTCCCGTGTCCTTCCCGGATCCCGTGTTCCGTAGAACGATTGATAGTGCTGTGGCTGGCCCCCGTTTTGTTCGAAGGGCCTTGGGGGTGCTGGCCGTACAAAAGTATCATCTTTTCCCTACTCTGTCTTGTATCGGTAGTGAATGACTGTTCTCTCGTCTGTCTGTCCCAGTAGCGAAAGACCTCTCTTGGGTAGCGGCCGTATGGTCATCAGCGCAAGCGGTGTTCTATTTGGAAGAGTCATTTGAAATGTTTACCTATCATCATGGGGGTGCAGTAGCCGGCCAAAAGAGGGTACACGTGTTGAATGGATTATTTTTTCGGACCAAGCGTTGGGTCCGAAACAGGAAA